TGGACGTGGTGAGAAGCGTTCATGAATGTTTCAACGTAGACACAATCCCTGCAAGAGCGCCATCAGGTACATACAGTTTCATGCTACGTTTTTAGTCTCGAATACTTTTGATTAGGTCTTAAGCCCACCATCTTTGGTTAGTCTTTATGCAGGGCTTTTGGGTCGATAGACTGCTATTCAACTCTATAACTGGATGTTGCTAAACTGTTTTTTTAGCTCTATAACTGGGTGCTGCTAAACTGTTATTCACCTCTATAACCGGGTGCTGTTAAACCGTTATTAAACTCTGTAACTGGGTGTAACTATTCTTATGTCCAGTAGCTGATGTTAGAAAAGTGGAACTCAAGATACCCAAGCTGCCTGCATGTGGAGAAAATGAAGCCTTCTACATCGAGGATATTCAAATAACATACAATGTAGGTACATAATTAATGATCCACATATCACTTCATCCTTATCCAAGGATCACTTCATCCTTATCCACAGATCACTTCATCCTTATCCACAGATCACTTCATCCTTATCCACAGATCACTTCATCCTTATCCACATCACTTCACTCTCATCCACATCATTTCCCTCTCATCCACATTACTTCACCCTAATCTACATCACTTATCCCTCATCCACATCACTTATCTCTCATCCACATCACTTATCCCTCATCCACATCACTTCACCCTCATCCACATCACTTTGTCATTACCCACAGACCACTTCGTCAGTATCCTCAATTTCACTTTATAAAATAAGCAAAAATTCATGTTTTAATTTAAAAAAACAGTTTGAAGGCATGTTACAAGGTCATTACATTTGAGGTTTTCCTTCCACATTCAAAGAAAGGTTATATATATATATCTATGCTTCAGCTCCAAAGTTGATAGCTTTCCATTGTTTGTTCTGCAGTGTGCTATCTTTAAAACTGTACCTACCAAACCGTCCAAGTTGATAGCTTTCCATTGTTTGTTCTGCAGTGTGCTATCTTTAAAACTGTACCTACCAAACCGTCCAAGTTGATAGCTTTCCATTGTTTGTTCTGCAGTGTGCTATCTTTAAAACTGTACCTACCAAACCGTCAAAGTTGATAGCTTTCCATTGTTTGTTCTGCAGTGTGCTATCTTTAAAACTGTACCTACCAACCGTCAAAGTTGATAGCTTTCCATTGTTTGTTCTGCAGTGTGCTATCTTTAAAACTGTACCTACCATACCGTCAAAGTTGATAGCTTTCCATTGTTTGTTCTGCAGTGTGCTATCTTTAAAACTGTACCTACCAAACCGTCCAAGTTGATAGCTTTCCATTGTTTGTTCTGCAGTGTGCTATCTTTAAAACTGTACCTACCAAACCGTCCAAGTTGATAGCTTTCCATTGTTTGTTCTGCAGTGTGCTATCTTTAAAACTGTACCTACCAAACCGTCCAAGTTGATAGCTTTCCATTGTTTGTTCTGCAGTGTGCTATCTTTAAAACTGTACCTACCAAACCGTCCAAGTTGATAGCTTTCCATTGTTTGTTCTGCAGTGTGCTATCTTTAAAACTGTACCTACCAAACCGTCCAAGTTGATAGCTTTCCATTGTTTGTTCTGCAGTGTGCTATCTTTAAAACTGTACCTACCAAACCGTCCAAGTTGATAGCTTTCCATTGTTTGTTCTGCAGTGTGCTATCTTTAAAACTGTACCTACCAAACCGTCCAAGTTGATAGCTTTCCATTGTTTGTTCTGCAGTGTGCTATCTTTAAAACTGTACCTACCAAACCGTCAAAGTTGATAGCTTTCCATTGTTTGTTCTGCAGTGTGCTATCTTTAAAACTGTACCTACCAAACCGTCAAAGTTGATAGCTTTCCATTGTTTGTTCTGCAGTGTGCTATCTTTACAACTGTACCTACCAAACCGTGTTTTAAAGTATCGATGAAAAAATATTGTCATAATTAGCTTTTCTTTTTTTTAACAGTAATTATAAATAACATTTCAAAATGAAAAGAAAAACTTCGTTTTTCCTTATACGTGAAATACGTTTCTCTCACGTTTTCTAGATACAAAAATACACTTTTGGTTTTGTACTGGTAAACTTTGAGATTTAAAATAATAATAACTCGCCAACAGGCATTTGTTACAGGATGCTGAACAAAGTACACTATTTTATATAATTTGATTAATTTTGTCCCTAGTATAGTAAAAGAATCCTTCAGTAAAGTTAGGCTTTACCCAATAGGCAGACTCTTAAGGCAGACATTTTATCACCTAATACTAGTTATTGCCCGCGAAACATTGCGTGAACTTCGCATCAACTAAAGTTACAGGACAAAACATGAATTCAAGTGACGCAATTTATAAGAATCCCAATAAGTGCTTGCCAACCCCCCCCCTTTCCCCCCTCCCCTTTCCCCCCCTTTTTTTTCCTCCACTCCCCAGGTACGCCACAACACACATTTTTCACAGCCCTAAACTTTCTTAAATATTCTAATGACCCACCCACCCGCCTTGTACACCGCACATTTACGACACCATCTAGTTGAGAGAAATAGAAGGAAATGTTACGCACCAAACGCTCTTGCGGTATTTTTAAGAATCTCATTTAGCGCAGTTATCGGGAATTTTATTTTGCACGCTACGGAAGTCACCATTACACCATACTTTATTTCAAACATAGATAATTATAGTGATTGATATTTATTATCTTCGGTCCCCACAGGACGATTGCCTACGACGCTACAAGTCTTTGTATTCAGAGAAAACTTTGAAAGATCTCATCCAAAAGGACTGCGCCGGGAAGACGCGATGCAGGCTAAACGAGTCTCTGAGCTACTTGGACCAGTTTATCTGTAAGCCTAACTTACGCCCTGTTGACGAAATAGAGCTAGATTACCACTGCAAATTATTTGGTACGTAAGGCGATCAAGGTTAAAAAGTTAAAAATAAAACAAAAAAAAAATCAAACAGAGGAAGGGAAAAAGTTGATCTGACTGTTGAAAATGATTCTTTCATTCATTGAGCTAAGACCGACTTCAAACGCCAACTAATCAAATGATAAAATTTCAAGTATTATTTAAAGTCATCTATTGATTTGTCTCTAGAATTTTAATAGCGTAGCGCAGTGGTTCCCAAACTTCCTAATGCCGCGACCCTTTTAATACTGTTCATCGTGGGTGTGGTGACCCGAAACCATAAAACTATTGTTGTTTCTACTCCATAGCCTAACTGTAGAGTCTATGTGTTTTCCTATGGTCTTAGGCGACACCCTGAGAAAGGGTCCTTTCGACCCCCCCCCCCCCACAGGCTGAGAACCGCTGATATAGTGTAATGAGACAGCAGAATAGTTATACGCACTTTAGTACGCGTTTGATTTTAAAGATGTGTATACAGAAATCGGTGTAACTTTATATTTACTGTATTTGTTTCATTTATTAGGGCAATTTAATATATATATATATATATATATATATATA